GAGAGCCTTATCCGGTAAGCGAGAGCGATGACTCTTACCTGTTGTGTTCTTCTTGTTCTAAACATGTTTTTGAATTCGATATTCTGTTCCTACTGTTTRTATTCTCTACCCACAGCTGGCCATATGGTGAAGGACAAACGTCCAATACCTATCATTGATGTTGGATGAGTTTTGTCAAGATTCATCTATATTGTTAGGAGATAGAATTAGGTTAATTATTTTAGAGTTCAGTTTATTAACTATATTAGAGTTCAGTTTTTGTCATTGAAATTTGATTTTCAAAGTTTTATTAAACTTTGTAAATGTTAATTGTTATGAATGTTATTTGAAGTGTTTTTACAAATATGGGTTTAATTACTTTGTTCCAATGCTTCACATATATATGTTCCTTGATCACTTAATTTGATTCTTTATATTTTTATTGCGAACTATAGAGATGTGACTTTGTAGCTTCAACAACCCTTATTCATTTACTTTCTTTCTTGTACATATTTTTTAAGCTGATGAGCAAACGGATTATGTTTTACTTTTTGGGTGTACGGGCTCTCCAAAGGCATACCATTTGCTTGTATCAAGCGAGGTGAAGTGTTCTTTAAATCTGAAGCTAAAAGGAACTGTTGTATGTTGTTTTTCATGTTTATGTTGTGTAATTGTTTTGGATCGCTTCATGATTCATGTTCTCCTCGAAAATAAAGTTCATGCGATTTGTAAAACACTAACCATGATGCCTATTTTTAAGTTCATGTTATATGTATTAATATGTAAAAAACTAAGAGCAAATCATATCATTCAAAAAGTCTTCTCTCGTGAAAACACAAAAAGCCTCAAAATCGTTTACATTTACGACTCCCGCCGCATTGCGCGAGTACACAACTAGTTATCTTATAAAGCATTTGGCTAAAACTATTAAAAACTCTTAAAACTCTTAAAAATTATTAAAACCCTTAAAAATTCTTAAAGAAAACCTCTATTATTTCGTCTAACTAACTGCAGATAAACATAATCAAATATTGGATAAACATCTCATTTTAAATATAAAATATAATTAGGATAATCATTGAATTATATTTAATAACAGAATACTTGATTATTATCCTTATAAAAATCTATACTATATTATAAAGCATTTGACAAAAACTCTTAAAAACGATTTTTTATACACGAAGTATTGTTTATTGATGCATATTACTTAAAATTTAAGATTACAAGTAAATTGTGCATAAGTACAATTTATTAAAGGTCCATATTTGAATTTTGTCTAACTAACTGCAGATAAACATAATCAAATATTGGATAAACATCTCATTTTAAATATAAAATATCTAAAATATAATTATGATAATCATTGAGTTATACTTAATAACAGAATGCTTGATTATTATCCTTATAAAAATTATACTAGAAGGGTACTCGTGTAATACAACGAGATACATCTCGATTTTAATGTTATGTTTTATTTTTTTGTCTCTGTCGATGTTATAATACAATTTTATGTCTTTTTAAGAAAGTAATAATGATTTTATTTTTGAATAAAATATAAATTTAAAAATATCATTAAAATTCAAAAAAATTATATCAATAGTAGTATCAAATCAACTATTAAGAAGTTCTCATTTTTTAAATAATTTCTTTAATTTAATTTTTTATCATAATTTAATTTAAGTTTAATAAATTTATTTTTGATTTAATAATATAATATTTATAAAGATTCTGTTAGAACTCAATGATTATCCTAATTATATTTTAGATTTTATATATTTAAAATGATATGTTTATCTTATATTTGATTATGTTTATCTACAGTTAGTTATACGAATTTAGATATGGAGCTTTAATAAGTTGTACCTACGTACAATATACTTGTAATCTTGAGTTTGAAGTAACATGCATTAATAAACAGTACTTTATGTATAAAAAGTGGTTTTTAAGAGTTTTTGTCAAATGATTTATAATACAATATAAATTATTAAACCAAAAATAAATTACTTTGTTATTAAACCTAAAATGTAAATAAATTACATAAAAAAACAATAATTTTTAAATAGTTAATTTGATACTAATATCGATATATTTTTTTCAATTTTTTATGAATATAAGCATTGTCGCTTTCTTAGAGTCACATAAAACCGTATTATATCGACAGAGACAAAATAAAATGAAATATTATCTCGATGTATCTCGTTGCATTGCGCGAGTATCCTTCTAGTAAATAATAAATGGCTTTAAACTTGTAAAACTTCGAATTTAATTAAAATCTCATTTAAAATTATATGTAATAATTCTCAAGCTTGATGTTAAATTCGAATTCGAAATGTTTCTACGATGTGTTTGGTATATCGTAAACATAGTAAGGATCATTATTTTATGGTTTATAGGATTTTTACATGAAACAAACAGGAACAAATAGAACAAAATATAACATGTGTGTTCACTCCCACCCCTATGGTCGACCCATGTGTTGGTCAAAGTGGGTCACCGTCCAAGGCAACAAAGCCCATGAAGGCATCACAGCCCAACACTTATATAAGGTTTACTAGGCTCATTTTTGCATTTTTTTTTCAAAAACATATTAAGCCGCTCACTCAGTCGCTCTCATCTCGTCACCTCTCGCACGCTCAACTCTATCCTCACGAAAACGCGCCCTGCTTGTTCACAAGTTGTCGACCAGCTTCTAGCGCTGCCCATCAGCCACCACGACCTGCTTCTAGTGATGTCCACCAGTCACGACTCACGAACGACTTTCTGGCTTCTACCCTCTCACATCTGCAGATACTTGAATGTGTATGTATGTGTGATTAATGAACAATATTCACCAATAAATAAGTTGTCAATGTGAAAAGTGTTCATTATTGAACATTGAGTGCACATTCATGCATGTTGACTGCTACTATGTTCATGTTGATCATTTATATCATACAATACACCAGAGACAACGAACTCGTTCGATTAAGAATGTCGACTGTTGAAATGTTAATGATTATTTCTCAAAATACATTTGTTTATGAACAATCCAAACAATATAACTTTCAACACATTGATAATTTCATAATGGTTAAATTCAAGGAGTAATGTAACTCTCATCTAAATGCATTGGAGTAATACAAAACATAACATTAATATTTTGCCCTCAATCATTAATTATATAGGAATCTATGAACCATGATACTAAATTGATTTCTATTGATCTAAAAAGTTTGTATAGTTAACACAAATGAATTGGTTAACAAAAGATCATACCTTTATCTATACTACCTTATAAACTAAATTTCATAAAAGTCTTAAATACAACATTTTAAGCATAAAGTACAATCTATTAAAGCTAAAAGTATTAAAGACAATCTTTTAAGCATAAAGTACAACATATAAAGCTAAAAATTCAAATCTAATGCTAACCTTTTTTCTTCCCAAGACCAGCCGCTCCAATCATTCATTCCCCCCCAATGTGACTATTTACTAATCCATCTTTCCCAATGTTATGATTTCATATTCAACTTCCCAGTATATACGTTTAGGGTTCTCTCATTGTACAACTATTGCTTTCATCTCCATTGCTCCTATCTCAGGTAAGTTTTTATTGTTTCCTCCCTCTCAATTTCGATCATATTGAGTTTATTCATTAACACCTTCCCTATTTGTGAAGGGTTTTCGTAGATTATATAATCGACACCTTTGCTGCAGTGATCCTTGAGCTCTAATTCTGGTTGGAAGAACGGGAAATGGGAAAAGTGCAACAGGAAATAACATCCTTAAAATAAAGAACAGGTTCGAATCAAAGTGCAGTTTATTTGGAGTAACAAACTACTTCTGAATTGAAGGCTACTGTAATGGAAAATGGCCAAATGACATTACTTGTTAGGGTTTTTTCTGGTAGGGTTTATATTTCATGTCTATAGATTCAGATTACAGAGTTATTATGAATGTGATCAATCTAACTTTTGTGATTAGTTTTGTTCTTCATTTAGTTTTATATGATTTGAGATTGGCAGGACTTTTTGATTCTTCGGTTGATTATGAAACTATTAGGAAGGAGATTGTCAGGTGTATCAAGATGGTCGTCGATGGTATTCATGCGATTCTTCTTGTATACTCAGTTTGCCATCGCTTTTCTGATGAGGAAAAGGCTGCAATAAGTGTCTTGCAAGATTTGTTTGGGAAAAAGATTTGTGATTACATGATAGTTGTTTTCACTTGTGGTGATGAACTAGAGCTAGACTACAAGACCTTGGAAGATTTCATATGTAAATGTCCACAAGCTTTGAAGGTGGGCTAGCCAGTTAATTAGTTAGCATTACTTGTTGCCATAATTTCATTCTTCTATTTCACTTTATTTAATTTGTAGTATGATTGTGCATTGCATGTCAATTTGCAAATGCTGGAATTTGCGACTTAGAACTTGATGTTGTTTTCAGATTTGTGGAAGTTGATTATGTTTTGATTGATATAAAATTTGAATAATGTTTTAGGGCATTCTTCGACTGTGTGGCAATCGCTGTTTTCTTTTTGATAACAGAACAAAAGATGAAACAAAGAAAGCCAATCAAGTAAAACAAACGTCTTGCTCTTGTAAACAAAGTGTTAGAAAAGAATGGCGGAGAACCAAATACCAATTAAATCTTCACTGAAATGAAGGTGAAACTTATTGCTAATTACCAAGTTATTGCAATTTACAGTTGATATATAATGGGAAATCAATGAAATTATCATGGTAACAATACATGATCTTATGAAAGGGAAGCGTTCTGCTTATTCTTGTTTATAATAATAAAATCTATTTCTTCTTCAAAATGGCTTCATCTAAGTGTCAAATTTGTTTTTAGTTTCCGTCATGCTTATTTTTGCCCCACCATCTGTTCTCAAATATGTGCTCACATTAGGCGTTTGTTGTACCATCCATGATTCATATGATCTTTATTTTTGATAATTTTTATAAGAATATGGTGGAACCCCATCATGATACTCTCCTAAAGAGCACTTAAGGAGAGAAGTGAGGTTCCAACATATATGGACTTAAAATTATCCAAATCTAAGCCAATGTGGGGCAATCTATAGTCGTCTAGCATCCTATCGTTAATTTTGGCCAACTGTCTGTGTAGCATCTATTGGAGGGGGCGTGTTAGAGTCACAATTAGCTAGACTTGTTGGACTATTTCTTGTCTCCTCGAGGACTCTTTTGAAGATTAATATGAGGTTTTACATATTATCACAATTTTGCTTCTACCCTTGATTCTTGAAGGCAAATGGGTGTTATTGGTTATTATGCTGCCAATGTTTTTTGATTAGTTCATTTAAGTTAATTGAAAATAACTAACGATTCTTAAATTTGAGAATGCTTCTTTTATAAATAAACATTGGCAAGTGACATTTTTGGTTCATAGCTTGAGTTGAAATTCATGAATTTGAAGTTAACGAGATTTGTTGGAAGAGCAGACTGCTCGGTTGAAGTTTGAAAGAAATGTCGAAACTGCAATAAAGAAAGTAGAGGGCGGTGTAGATCGGTTGAGGGAAGAGTTGAAGGAAGCCAAGACTATGGAGGAGAAATGGAAGCAATCTTCGAGTAGCTGTGTTATCCTCTGATTTCTCTCGATGAACACATATTGAACGGGGTAAATTTTTTGATGCACTGATTATGTAGTTTTTGGAACTGGGATTGTTAACACCTGTTTTCTCAATATTATTATTATTATTATTATTATTATTATTATTATTATTATTATTATTATTATTATTATTATTATCTAGCTTTTTATGAGAATGGTATAAAAGGATGGTATGTATTTAATAATCATCCTCTTTGTGTATTGGCATGTCTAACTCTAAGTTGGTAACACCAACATTTTCTATGGTTATTAGACAAATAGTAATTCCCATATGTAAACTATTTCTTTATATATGGTTGCACAATCGTTGACATTGACATTTCACATGGATTGATATTTGAGTCAAACATAAGTACAGATGTAACAAACACTATGATATCATTAAAGACTGTGAGATTTCAAAATTGAATAAACTTTGATAGAATTTATAATCCCACCATATTGTATGGGTATACAACTAATATATATATATATATATATATATATATATATAGACTTGGGATCATGTAAGACCAATGGTTTTTCGTGAGACCCGTAAGACCAATTCTCAACCCTTGAATTAGATCTACAATCGTCAGATCTGAACATTCATAAACACCACGAGACTTCTCAATAATTACAAAATTGTCACCGTTGCAACTTTAGACCATTAGTTTATAAAGTTGATCAATGAACATAAATTGGTCTTACGGGTCTCACGAAAAACTCTTGGTCTCACGTGAACCCAACTATATATATATATATATATATAGGAGCGATCAAATGAAAACCACTCCAATTTGTAAAAACCGTAAAAACTACTCTCATCCATCGTTAATCTTATGAAATTTTTTCATGAAATTGTTAATCTTGTGAAATTGTTTCATATAATATTTTTTTGATGAAGTTGTTTCATATGTGGTTATGAAATTTTTTCATATACTACTTAATGAAATTTTAATGAAACTGTTTCATTTATTTCTTTAAAATTAAAATAATGAAGATGATAATATCCATGATTAACACCCTCCACAATAAAAATGGTTAATCAACCTCTCATAATTACAAAAAAAATGAACAAAATGAAAAATTATGATGGTTGAATGCGGTTTGCACGGTTTGTACAAATTGAGTGGTTTGCATTTGATCACTCCCCTATATATATATATGAAATTGTTTCATATACACAAGATTGTTAATTTAACACCCTCCACAATAAAAATGATTAACCAACCTCTCATAATTACAAAAAAATGAACAAAATGAAAAATTATGATTGGTTAAATGCGGTTTGAACGGTTTGTACAAATTAAGTGGTTCGTATTTGATCGCTCCCCATATATATATATATATATATATATATATATATATATTCTTATAATTTTTTATGCAAAGAGGTCAATCCCTTTCGTTCCCAGCAGCAAAAACCCTTCCCTCCTTTCGTTCACAATGACAAAAGACCCACCCCCTCCCTTGCTCCGATCTGCTTCCACCGCTGTCTCTCATTAATCGTAATAATCGTTCTATCTCTACCTTTCTCAATATCACATTTCTTCTCAAGAATCCTTCGCCGGCAGTGACAACCCAAGACCTTCGATCAAACTCCTTCCCCCTCGTTGCTCCAATCATCATCGGAACCCCATCGCCACTATCCATCCTTCTAAGACCACCGACCCTCTCTTTATCTCCTCCTCATCTCCGTCTATCATAAGTTCCCCCCACCCCCTTTTTTCACCAACTCGATGTTCCTCTCACTAACTGAAGGAATACCGCCCTTTCCCCCATCTCCGACGGTCACTATGCAGGAAGACCATCTTCCCCTACACATCTCTAGCCCCCACCACCCGACGATTTATGGCCCCCATCCCCTGTCTCTGGTTACCCTTTCTCGACATCGAGAAGCCAAGCTGAAGTTATCAACTTATATGGGTGCTTATTTGGGGGAAGTTACAATTACCTTTCATGATATTGAACTTGGAGACTTACACATGAACTTAGTGAACTGGGTTTGAGTTTGATTTATATTCACAATTTGAGTTTGATTTTGATTTAAAGTTTAAGTTTGAATTTCATTTAGCGATTAAGTTTGAGTTTGATTTAGGATTTAACACGTTAGTGTTCAATCTTTGTGATTATATTTTGAATGTTTGGAAGTGAACAAACACCGATTTTGTGATAATCACTTCGTGTTGGTTTGTATTTTTATACCAGATGATGATGAAGAACTAAAAGAAGAGAAAAATAGGGAGAGGGAGGGAGAGAGAGTTCGTCTGTTAAAATAAGGGAGTGGATAGAAAGAGAATAATACCCTCATGTGCAAGTCATATGAGCGGGCTTAACCAGAGGGAGGTTAATGGAGTTAGTTTACACTTTTGCATATTACAAGGGTTTTCTTGCAATAAACATTTTATTAAGGACTCAAACCAAGAAAAACAGCAAACCATAGGGACCAAAATTACAGTTTATTCTAATAATAGTAATAACTTTTTCTTGCAATTTCTAAATATATATATATAGAGAGAGAGTGCGCGTTTGGTTCAAATGTTAACCAAATTTATTGTGTTAACTTTGTTAACTATTTTCAACCAATAACAATCCATCTTATATATAGGTTCCTATCCATCTTAGAATTTAATGAGAATGGTAAATATGTAATTTTTTTTTATGTAACTCCCATATCATTAATTGGGGGTTACAAAATCACAAAATCTCATGATTTTTGTTAATTTATTATTGAATATCTAATTATGTGAACATGTGGACGTCAAAATGTGTATAAATGTATATGGTCATGTTGTGATCATATATGTTCTAGACCTCTCTCGATAAGACCATATATGTTCGTACCTGTTCAAATGGGTCATTCATCATCTTGCATATGGTTATATAATTGACATAGGTTTCACATATGTTCATAACTGACTGAAATATTTCGTATATGTCGATTTGTGTTCATAATGAAAGAACTATTGTTCACAAGCTGTTCATATTGTATTCATATGTAGACTAGCTGCATTTCTCAACAGTGGTTGCCTCTTGAATGTGTTCATAATGAATGAACTATTGTTCACGAGCTGTCATATTGTATTCATAACTATTTTTTTATTTCTTACCTTTCGTGTAGCAGCTATTCTTATTGTGTTCATAATTGTTCATGTTGTGTTCATACCTGTTCCGAGATGTTTGAAGACACTTTGTTAACGATATTTACTATTTTGGTAACTGATGGTATCAAAAGCACATGATATTTGTTGATCCTATCTCTCAGTGATTTGATGATAATCCCTTTTACCTTATACGAAGTATTTTTTGTTTTTCTCTTTCAGTTCCAGCGATCATCATTGAGTTTGTTCAGTGATCACTGAGAACATGTAATGTAAATCCATCAGCGACAGCGATACTTCAAGAAGACAAAACTCACACCAAAGAACCTTTAGCGAAAGTCGAAGACTGAAACTGAAGATTAGAGACTGGCGAGTACGTGATCTGAATTGGTATTCAATGATTACAACCTGGTCTACATATGTGTGAAGACTGCCCAAGCCTCAACGAATGCTGAAGAGACCTTTAGGTTATTCCAGCATTCAGTGATCAAAAGAAGCTTGTTGAGCACGATTGTTTTTGTCTTGTCCTGATACACACAAAGAACAAGCTCATACCCTTTCTAAAGTATAGTACGGTACAGAGCCAATTAGTTGACTCTACTATCCACCAACTTTATGAAAAGATGTCTGCTCATGAATAGGCTTTTGTATTATTCAATGTAACAAATGACAAGTCTTTCTCTAAAAGCTTGACACATATTCAAACCCTACTATGTTGCCTTAAATGTGCATTTAATGCAATGAGTATAAATAGATGTGTTATATCTCCCTACAAAGACACTATAATACTTACTCTTGAACCCTAACTTACGTTCATAAGTAAAAGAACACACATCTAAGAACACAATACGCTTGTCTTCAAAAGCAAGTTCGAATCCCTTTTTATATTCTAAAATAGTTCTTACCCAGAAAGAACTAACATCCTTCTAAGTTTTTTACATTAAATCTTTTCTTTATTTGCTAAGAACTAGTGTGTAACTTAGACTGTTTAGATAGGTTATTTTTACCTTATTTTTCCACAAACAATCTTGTAAAATATATATTGACCTTTCTTTATCAATATATATTTTAAATTTGAAAAGTTTACTGTGTTTGTATTCATCCCCCTCTCCTTCTATAAATTGTTATACACATCTTGTAGATCCTAATGGGACCAACATTATTTTACATAAGCACCCTTTTCCACTTGGTTCACATATATTTGTGAAATTATAAATTTAATAAATTTTTAATATGATTAATCACAACCGTTTATTATAAGAATCAATGATCAAGATTAATTAACAAAGTTAATGCAACAAATTTGGTTAACATTTGAACCAATCTCTCTCTCTCTCTCTCTCTCTCTCTATATATATATATATATATATATTTGTGTATAAAAATGTTATTTTTACTTTTTTATAGAAAAACAAAAAGATAAGCAAAATGTTAAAATGACTTTTGATTCAACAGAGTTAACAAAACGTTAATCACAAAGACCATGATCAAAACAAATTAAACACAACAAAAACCAAATCCATATACAATAGAAATCCTAATAAAAAAACATCCAACCATAAGGACTAAATATGTAGTTCACTCAATAAATTATTATAACTTATATTGATAAAAATAAGTTGAAATTAAATATAATAAATACTCAAAAACAATAAATCATAGGACCAACTTATCATTTATTTATTTATTTTTAAAATATGGATGACAAAATTATTTTAAATTGATCAACACACAATCTATTATTACTCGAATACATAAATAATAATTATTTATTTATTTATTTTTAAAATATGGATGACAAAATTATTTTAAATTGATCAACACACAATCTATTATTACTCGAATACATAAATAATAATTATTTATTTATTTATTTTTAAAATATGGATGACAAAATCATTTTAAATTGATCAAATAAAACCTATTATTACTCCAATACACACATAATTATTATCTATTTGAGACCATAAAGCTCAAACCCAATGATTGCAATAATTCGCTCCAACTCAAATTCAAACAAGAAAGTTAAATATTTTCGTTTTATTTATTGGTATATTTATAATAAATTACTAGACATTAAATTTGTATTTTATTTGTGAATTAAATATTATAAAATTATTTTATGGCCATAAATTAAAAATGAAATAAAACATACATATTAGGACTTGAGAGGGTGGACCATTGAACCCATTCACATCATGGATAATTGATCTTGTATATTATGTTGAAAAGATGTTAACAAATTAATATCCAAATCCGATGGGTATGAATCATGTTCATATAAAGTATTGACTTTTTTATTAATATATTATGTGGGTGTGTATTTTGGGGTGTTTGGGATTGCATATAAAAACAACTTATTGACTTATTCCAGTATGACACCGGTAATAAACAATTTTGAATGTTTGGATAAACAACTTATACCGGTGCCAAACCGGTAATAAGGAGTTTTTGAAGAAGTTAAACTCTTCTGACTTATAATAAGTTGATAAGTGTTTTTGTAGAAAAACATGAGTTGTTTCAAATAAGCAATCCCAAACACCCCCTTTATCTATACATATGTAGGGAACAATTCAAAATTAAAATATAGGAACTAGACAGTCGTTAGAGAAAATATGAGGTGGACAGGTTGTTGAGTAATGGTACCTCATGCTTAGTACGTACATATGGTGTTTTGTTTGAAAGAAGCTGGAGAGGGAACAATTGGTAGGGGGAGGATTAACCTCCCAAAATAGTTTTTACTTGTAATAAGTGTGTTGTTTACATTCCTTCAAGGTGTAGCATAAGCATAGAAAGAGAATCAGATAGAGGAATGCCGATTTAAACAAGTATAATGCAAGTTTGGAAGTAAATAAGAAAGATGAGCTGTGCAGAGGTTTTGGAAGCATAATCGGTGAAAATCGATGGTTAGAGACCAAGAAATTGATAAAAAGTAATGTAGTTTTATTGGTCTCAGCTATCACATTTGTAAATAATACATTTAGTATTCCGAGAAAACACTTAGAAAGAAACTTTTAATACTTGCCTTACAGTGAGCATATCTGAATCCGATGAACAACACTCAAAATCAAATATAACTCTAAAATATTGACATCTAAACTTTAGTTATTCGTATGGCTTAAGGCTTCGGATATTGATCACTGACCGGATCCTCAACTTTTATATAAAATTGTGAAGATCAAATCTTTGGTCTGATTATTTTCCATGCGATTTGGAGAATCCGATTGATCTATCTTTTAAAGGTCGTTCCATCTTGAAGTTTCAAGACCTACATTGTTATACTAAGTTATTATATCCTATGAATCCATTTCATAAAGTATTCTATAGCTGAAATCTGATGTATAACTTATATTTTTCAATTAAAAAACATAGGATTTTTACTTATAAAAGTCTTGTAACTATCTGTATTGATCCAAGGACTAAAAACCTTCAACAAAATGAAGACCAGTTGAAATGAGGTCAAGATTGTTAGCAAAACAGAGCGGTTTGTCATCTAGCCAAAAATAAAATCAATACAATATAAAGTCAACTAGTAGTCTAACAAATACTACTACTAACAAGCCGAATTTTGGAGTTCAAACTTGTCCAACAAGTTTGACTCACCAACTCTTCCAACATTCATTCTAGTAAGGGAAACATGCTCAACATGTTAGTAAAAGTAAGTTATAAACACTATTTTATTAGTGGCATACTTTATTTATTGTTCCCTTGGCATACAAAAGGATGAGATAGAATAAGAAGTGTCTGCATCAACTACAAAGGTTGAAATGAAGAGTACAAGAATGCATAGATCAACAAATCAGATGAAGACACGCTAAAGTTGGATGGTAAAATTTAATGCAATGGTGGCTATGAAAGGGTACCCTTCTCTTTCATTGCTACTCACCCGTTTTGACAGAACTTCTATGTGATAGTTTCTTAAGCAAAATCGGCGTTAACATCTGAAGAACTATCTTAATCCTTCATATCTGAAAGAGTACCTTCTGCTCTTACTTTTTTAGTGTTAGCAAACTTATCACTAGTTAAATTATTTAGGATCACATGTCTTATCTTCCTAGTTTCTACAACAAATTATGTAATTCTTTGTTTTAATACAAAATATAGAATTAAAAATGAAAATATGTTGTGCTTGTATTCAAACCCCTTTTCTACAAACACATCTTGTGTAAATCATTACTTTTCAGGACCAACAAGTTGTATCATGGTTATTTGTTTAGTCTCTTAAACAACATCTGAAATGATTTTCACAGCTAATGACAATGGCTTTCTATCCAAACCCCCATGTTTCCAAAACATAAGTTTTCTCTTTAGAAAAATTGGATGACACTCTTTTTTGAAGGAGTTGACAACCAAATCCTACATATTCTCAAAAATGGTCCATATGTCCCCACCATCTTTCTATTTAATGATAGTAATAGAGGTAACAATATCATCAGATCTGAAAGGCAAATAGTGAAGACTTCCAAGCGAGTTAAACACAAGTTTGGGAACAAGCAAGGGGGCTTACATGTTAGCTCACAATGAAAGAATACTAGGAGAGTTCAAGTCGCTAAGGAGAGCTCACTACTTGTTGGTTAATGGGTGTTCTGATCTTCTCCTTACAGATAAGACGATATCTATAAAATCATCCCAAATTATATGTGCCTTTACAACCTTGTTTGGCATGTTTGCTTAGTTTTTATTAAGGTTTTATTATTTCGTTGTAGATTAAGGTTGAGGTAAAGTAGACCTTTTGAAGTTTTCTGTTTGAACCAGATGAGATTCGAAGGTTGTTTCAAGTTTTGAAGCTAGACTTGTGGCAGGACGTGCATGTGTATGCTCCAACTTAAGGTAGGAGACTTTTGAATGACTTTGTTAGTTTACAAAATCTGTTGCATAGGATGTTCCGAACAAAAAACAAACTTGTTATTTGAATTTTGAAGTAAGAACTTAGGAAAAAGGTAAAAACCCGAAACTATCCGAAACCTGGCCTAAACTCATTCGAAACCCGAGCTACCTGAAACCTGCAAGTTTTACTAATTTGAATCCAACTTTCAAGGTATGATTTTCCATCTCCTGACATACGATTAATTTTTCGTGTTTTCACCCGACTTGATCTCACTCGTGTACACCGTACATTTGACCCCTCAACTTATATACTATTAGTGCATCTTATCGCCTTACTTGCGTATTATTATCACATAGTATTCCCTAACTTATGCATTATGTAATCTTACACCCTAACTTATGTTTATTGTCAAATATTACCCCCATACTTCCGTATTATTATCACATCTTACCGCCTAATTTATGCATTATTATGTAATCTTACACCCTAACTTATGTCTATTGTCATATCTTACCCGCATACTTCCGTATTATTATCACATCTTACTCCCTAATTTATGCATTATTACATAATGCTACCCCCTAACTTATATTTATTGTCATATCATACCTTTTACTTTACATATTATTACATCTTACCCCTACGTGTATTGTTCTTCTCTAGTCATCGGTCTTACAATTAAGCCAAAACATGCCCGAAGCCGCACTTACGAGTTACGAGTTTGTGTTTTTGGATAACAAAATAAATAAATAAATAATAATAATAATAATAAAATACAGAAATATATACAGAAAATCCTCTCATCTCTCCAATAATTCTTCGTCTTTATCTCCTTCAAATTTTCGAAGAAGACTTGCTCCATTTTCGTTTTTCCGTCAATCTGTTGAGGTTGATCTGAAAGGCATATCTACATATATGGATAGGATAGTCGGAGGAAAGTACAAGCTCGGCCGTAAGATCGGGAGTGGATCCTTCGGTGAAATTCATCTAGGTTTAGCTTTTTAATTTTAGTTTTTCTTCTTCTTGCTTGTAAATCGGTGAATTTTGTTGAAATTGAACTTGAAAGAGTTGAGGATTTTTTGTGCAGCTACGCATATCGATACGTTTGAAATCGTCGCCGTCAAGATCGTAAGTGTTCAACACATCGCAATTACTTTTTCGTTTTATTGTTTTTGATTAGTTAGATGATTCACCTTTTTTTGTTGAAGTATGATTTTGTAGATTGGTTTTAGTGAGACTGAACTTAAAAAAATAGCTACAGTGAGGGCTCGAATCAATTTATAGTGCAATATACCAGAGAGTTGTTATTATGTTGATTGGTGCTTTAATTACTGAATCTGAAGGTAATTGATGTGAAATTGTTTCGGTAGGGTTAGGGAGCTTGGAATTTGAGGTTTAGAATCGTAATGGAGACTGGTTTTGTTCAGAGTTTTAACAGATTTAGCTTGAATCCAGATTGTTAACAATGAATTCCAGTTACTGGACGTGCCATTGCTGTTTCTGAATTAAAAAAAATGTCTGCTCTATCTATTACATGAACTAATTGGAACATGTTCCTCTTGGTGTTTATACTTCTCTACCTTTTTATTGTTTCTTTACCTTCCCTTAAGGCCAGGAACACTGAATTAAGTGAAATACAGTCCATAACACTTTATTGGTTTTGTACTGACGTTGTCTAAAGATTTGACATGGCGTAATTTATTGTAACATGAACTTCAGTTTTGATATGGGTTTTCTGACTCTGCAGGAGAACAATAAGACAAAACATCCACAACTTCTATATGAAGCCAAGTTATACAATATTCTTCAGGGTGGAAGTACGTATAATTTGATAGCAATATCATAGCTCAGAGTTACATATTTGTCTTTTATTTTATTTTATTTTAAGATGTACCTTCTATTTAGAACTGATATTTATATCATTTTTAATGTGTATTTTCACTTTTAGGTGGTATACCTGGCATAAAATGGTCCGGTGTAGATGGAGACGATAACATATTGGTACTCGATTTGCTGGGACCAAGTCTCGAAGACCTGTTTGTTTATTGTGGGAGGAAGTTTCAACTGAAGACAGTCTTAATGTTGGCTGATCAAATGGTAAATATGCATTTGCACCATATTTAGATGCTGTACCTCCATTGTGTAGATGTTAATTTCTAGGTGGATTTATGCTTTCTTACATTTTGGACCTCATAGTTCCTGTCATGCTATATGCTGTTTGATTTACTGCTAATGGTTACAATGACATAGCTGCTTGACTCCATTAAAATTTCCAACAATCTATAGAAGTTAGCTGTACTGTTAGGACTGGGTCGTGTCGTTTTTGCTGTCTTCAACATATGATATGCCTACATGATCATCATTACTTTTCTGCACCATACCTGACATTTTGACTGTTGGAGGTCTCCATCACCAGCTTGACTGTCATAGTTAAGTGTCTGATCATTATATGTTGGTCCTAGGAAATCTACTCCTTTTTATTTTCCTAATTGCATTTCTGTTGCCATAACTCAATCCTATTTTCCATCAAAGTTTTGTAATCAGCCTCTTGTTCCTTGGGAATCTATTTTCTCCCTTCCATTGGCATTTGGAGCAATCTTCATTGTTGTTGCAGTACATACTCTCATTTTTCATCAGACCAGATTAGTACCTAATCTCGTTGTATATGCAGATAACGAGAATTGAGTACGTTCATTCTAAAGGGTTTTTGCATCGTGATATTAAGCCTGATAATTTTCTCATGGGTCTTGGTCGAAAAGCAAATCAGGTGATACTAACTAGCCTGTTACGGATTGATAAGGCATTTTGCAATAATGTCATTGTTGTATATACTTTTCAAATTTCTTTTTCATGCTTGACTTTTTATCGTATCCATCAGGTTTATATTATCGATTTTGGACTTGCTAAACGATATCGTGATGCAACAACCCATCGACATATTCCTTACAGGTATACCTTTCAAGCATGTATAGACTACCTAAAATTGAATGTCTCTTACGTTTCATGATTCCCAATCACCTCATTTTATTTGTGTCCATATGTAATGAGATAGATGTGGTTATGTACTTTCTGACTTTCTTTTATGGGATGAGGTTTGAGGCAAATGTGTGTGTGTGAGAGAGAGAGTTCCTTTGGGGGGGGGGGGGGAATTGGGGTTATGCAGTGATATTAGCTTATTAGTGAAATCACCACTAATTTAGTGTAGTTATTCTTTTCACTAGTTCTCTGTGGCAGTTGCAACCAAGATGTTACTTTGGTATATCTTAATGGATCACATGTACGATAATTTTATAAATTTGATGACCTATTTCTGCAGGGAGAACAAAAATTTAACGGGGACGGCGCGTTATGCAAGCTGCAATACTCATCTTGGAATTGGTAATAATAGCTATTAACGAACTTGGATAAAAGATAGCGTTCTGAAGTATAGGATCTGCGAAAACTTAATTGCACTTTGTTGGTCTCTTTTGCAGAGCAAAGCCGACGGGATGATTTAGAGTCTCTTGGTTATGTACTTCTATATTTTTTGAGAGGAAGGTAAACTTTTTGCTTGTTGTCTTTTTTAATATTAGTTTTGTGGATGCCTCTCGTAGATGGTGCTGATATTATATTTGTGTTATCCTGTTGGAACTTATTCATTCATTATGTTAACATAGAGTTTGTGTCTAGTCTTCCATGGCAGGGTCTAAAAGCTGCCACAAAAAAGCAGAAGTATGACAAAATATGTGAAAAGAAATTATCAACTCCCATTGAGGTGCATACATACCATATATTTTCCTAGTTGAGGTTAGATCTTCATATATCTCTTTGTATTGTGCCTTACATCTTCAATTCGTGAAGGTTTTATGCAAATCTCATCCTGTGGAATTCGCTTCATATTTCCATTATTGCCACTCATTGACCTTTGATCAGCGGCCTGATTATGGATTCTTGAAACGTCTATTCCGAGAATTGTTCACTCGTGAAGGTATTTTCTGCGAAACTGAGTTACCATGCATTTTGAGATTACATGACACGATCTCAAGCATGTAGATATCGATTTGTTATGTGTTTGGCATTTGTTGTTCAATCTGTACTGCTGTAGTTTATAGTAGTTACTTATCTTGGCTCCATGCTGATCTGGATACCAATTCTCTTATTTATGGTTTCATGTGATTTGAAATTTATATGGCAATTGTAAGTCTACACTTAATGTACAACAGAGTTGATAGAGAACACCAATATTACTCTTGCCTTGCAGGGTATGAATTTGATTACATCTTTGATTGGACCATACTGAAGTACCAACAATCACAAAAGAGTAAAACTCAGCCACATGGGTTGGTTAGTATTTTTGCAATCTAGTTCATCTCTTCATGCATTACATATATTTCACGGTGGTTTGCAATGTATATCAATTTTCTCATTTGTTCTAATAAACACAATATCCATGTTTTGCAGCCAGTTCATGGAGAAAGCAGCAGTGGAGCAATTCGGAAGGATATGGAAAAACATCAAGGTTAGGGATGTTTGAAGAGACTCATGCTATATACTCTCTGCGTCCCAAAATAAATGTCCATAATGAAAAAGGCACATGGTTATAGGAATGTGTAATCATTATACCTTTTAATGAACAAAATGACAATTTCACCCTTAATGATAAGGGAGTAAAGAATTGCTCATCTCCATAATTGAGGATAGAACTGGAAAATAGACAGTTACTTTTGAAAATGACACATTTTGGGACAAACTAAAATATAAATGTGGACGGTAAATAATATATAGCAAATCAGATGGTTCCAGATTGTTCTCTACATACTATAGGAACTTGTAAAACAGAGCAACTAACTTGTGTTTTCCCCTCAATGGCAGGAAGCAACAACGCTACTTATTCAGCTGAATTGACAGACCGCATGAGGTCAAACACTGCCGCCAGTCCTGGGGTCCGAATGCAACTGAAATCACCAATGAATAGAATGACTCCTGACAATCCTCCTGAGAGAAATGTGAGCATCTTTGATTAATACAAATTAACAAAACGACTCTTCCAGACTTGTTATGACATTTTTACATCTTTGACTAATACAAATTAACAAAAACGACTTCATCTGTACTTTGAAGAGTGAAGAATAATTCAGTAAACATTGCATTTATCTTATTATTATTGACTCCTTTTTCAGGGAAAAAGGAAATTGTTAAAATGGACTCCTTTTGGCATGGATAATTGCATATCATGTTAATAGTGGTGTACAAATGTCGCAATATTAGCTTTAGATTTTTGTATGTAGACTGAACGCATAATGCTGTTATTTCAGTCCTTAAGCCATTCCCAGATGCCACCATCTTCATCTGCTCAGGCTGCTGTCCCAAAAAGATACTCCACGAAACCTGCTTTGCCATCGGACTCCACCAACCCTAATCATGCAGATAGTAGTGGTCCTTCTAGCAGCTGGATTTCCTCCTTGCGCCGCATTTCTTCCGCCAAGTGATTTACAACGTAAGTGATGCAACTCATGTAGGGCGTGCTCACTTGCAATTTTTGCCAACTTCCGTTTATCCTCGTGTTTCCAGATAGCTTATGGTCAAGATAGTGGTGATGCATGAAGCTGAAAGATGCCGGTGGCAGCCGGGTACCAGCTTGTTTTTCATAGAATTGGGTGTTAAAACAAAAAAAGTGTGTATTGTCAATTCAGCAGCCAGATTTCTTGGCAAGCTTTTGTGCGTCGCTGTTCTCAGTGAAGAAGCAAGCATGCTATGAATGTAAATTGAATGACTCAGAAGCTATATATAAAAGCCCAAGAGGTCACTTACAAACCACATTGGCTGATACAAGATCACAGCTTCATTCCTTTCTTTGCAGGTGCATACATGTAACCAAGTAAATCGAAAGCAACTTAGGTTTTGGCTTCTTGTGTAACGTAAAAGTTCATGACGTTCTTTTCTTTTCTTTTAAAACAACTTTCATACATTTCCTGCCTGTGCACATAGTTCTATAACTTTCCCTTTGTCTGATTGATCTATGTTTTATATGTTTGGGGCATTTGTTTTGGGTTTCTACTTCTTTTCAGCGAAGCTCGTGCTGTTTCATCTAGAGAGAAAGCTGTCGACATGCTCTGTTCGATTCAAGTAATAACTTTCTCCTTTCTATTTACGTAGATATAATCTTCTTGTATGCCCAATTTGTATAGTGAAGTAGCTGTTTAGTCGATTTCATTTATGGACCCCATTAATAAATGGAGGAAAATGAATGAAGGGCCGGACGGACCCTATACCTGTACTGAATTCGACCTCTCTTCTCTACGTCTTTATTTCATGGACACCTCATAGTCGGTGTTCCGGTAGGTGAAGGCTATTTGCTGATCTCATCTCACGACCTGTCTGTCTCATTCTCCTTATACTGTATCATGGGCTCGAGATGGGTTCAAAATAGTGGAGTAGCCAAGCTTTGACGAACCATTCTAAAAACTGTTTTCATATTTTCTTCATCTAATTCTTTACTTATGGTGTTCGTATCGAGTGTGAAATTCGGGGATTACCTTGAGGCGGAATTAAGCGTGTTGCGCGTAGCCTATTAGAAGATTAGGTCTAGGTTTTGTTTAGGATCAAAGAGGTGGGGTTTTTTCACTAAAATTTGATTTGATTTGATTTAGGGGCCGTTTACTAAACGCTTACCCGGTAGGTGCTTACCGGACTATTTTTCTCACCGGACGAACATGGCAAGGTGCAAGAATCTTACTTGGTAAGAGCGATGATAAGGATAGAGAGTCTTACCCGGTAAGTGAGGGTGACGACTCTTACTCAGGTAAGCGTTTACCATATATATTGTTGCACACAATACCATTTTGATATACTACAATCTTACCTAGAAAATAAATCATAGTGTTGACTCCTAACGGTAAGCGCTTACCGGGTGAGTATTTAGGTAAACAACCCCTAGTTTTGATATATTGATTAGGTATATAATTCCAAATTTCCAATGATAAGTTTAAGTCATTGGTTAGCATGATGAGTAATTTGTCTTTACATCACCATATTCCACTTTACTAAATTTAGAGTTGTTTTGTAAATGTCAAAAAAAAAAAAAAAACATCAATGTTTGCAAAAGGAGAAGAAATTGAATAAATTACAAAAATTAAACATAAAAAATATTTGGGGTGTTTGGAGCGTGATTTGGTGCGATTTAGGGTTAAACCTTTAACCGTATAGTATGTACGGTTTGAAGATTTTCTCAAACTTCAAACTATGCCATATATGCCTCAAACCATAAAAATGTAGTTTATGCAATTTGTACCTGGCACACTTCAATGCAATAATTATGAAATTATAGCATCAAAATAAATTTGACGAAGATATTTTCGTATTCTACATGATAAAGAAGTTCCAATACATTCGAAATGTGTGACTAAAAATAATGTAAATCAAAAAGAGTTCTATAAGATGGCGTTTGGTACGCAGATATAATTTGATAGAACTGAACGAGACAGAACTGGACAGGACATGACAAGAGGGTGGGACTGGACGGGACATGACTAAACATAACAGGAGTATGTCTGGTGTTTGGTACGACTAGAACTGGACGGGATAGAACTAGACAAGCTACCTCAAAAAGTTATTTGATGATTTTAAATATTATATAATAGTTATAATTAACACAAATAAAGTAAATAATTAATGAATAAATATTTGTACATAATTTTCATATTTGTACCAAATTTGAATGATAAATTTGATATAATTGATGGTAGTAGTGGTGGAGGTGGTTTTGGTTATGGTGGAGGTGGTGGTGGCTTACGGTAGTAGTGGCAACGGGCGGTGGTGGTCGGTGGCCGACAATGGTTATGGAGTTAGAGGCAGTGGTGCTTGGTGGACGACGGTGGTTATATAAGACATGAAGATGGTAGATTGTGGTGGTGGTGGTAGTTGTGGTTGATGTAGTGAAGATAGTGGTGGTGGTGGTTATGGTGGAGGTGAGGTGACAATGAATAGTGGTGGCCGATGGTGGCTGTGAAGGTCGTGGAGGAGGTTGTTGCAGTAGAAGAGGAGTTGAAGGTGGCGAACAACGATAGTGGTGGTGGCAATGGACGGTGGTGGTCGATGGTCGACTATGGTATAGGTGGCAATGGACTTGGTGGACGGTGGTTGTGGAGGCGGTGGAGGATATTGTAGTGGAAGAGAAGGTGGAGGTGGCCGTCTGTGACCGCCGGTAGTGGCGGCGGCAGCCGAAACTAGCGGTGATGACCATTAAAACAAATATCATATTAAAGTTATATATCAAATTAGGGTAGATTAATAATATTTTAGTTTCTGTCATATTCTTGTCCCATTTTGTTCCATCTATTTTGGTGGAACAAGAAAAAACCTCTTTTGTCTCATGCTGTCCCACCTTGTCCCAGTTTTTGTCCCTGTCCCATGTCGCGCCAAACGTGGGACAGTGAGTTCTTGTTCTGTCCCATGTTACGTCAAACATGAGACAGTGGGTTTTGTCCTGTCCCGTTCCGTCCCATATACCAAACACAGTCTAATTATTCCAAAATGTATCCAAAAAGTAAAATTCAATAACAGACAAAAAAAAAACTCAAATAAGGATACCTAACGGAGATCTTACAAAAGAAAAAACTGAAAAATTAATTAATAATCAATAATAAATTAGTTATTTTCAATTAATTAATGATAATGTGTATATAAATATATATTTCAAATAATATAAAAATGTGCAGTGCGGTTTTAACCGGGGTTTGATAATTCAAAACCACAAACAACACCTCAAAGTTTAGTTTGATAAAACCGCAAACCAAACCATGAAAATTCTAAACCGCAAATGACGGTACAATATGGTGCGGTGTGAACGGTTTATACAATTTTACAATTTAGTTGAACACCCTTAGAAACACCGTACTTGTTGAAACTCTTCTTCATAAAATTATAATATTCTTTTTCTACTTTTTACGGGGTTAATTTCATGGTTAGTATGAATAACCGACTTTTAATCCATTGTATTTTGTTCTTCATTGTAAACTAGCTATTGTATATGTAAAGCTGTCAAAAACGATTTGACAACTTGTTATTACAAATGATCGGAGATAAATTATGTTAATGTAAGTGGGAAAGAAACAATCAAAGACCCAAATAATAATTCAAAAATCTAGCACTTCAAGATTTCGATATCGTAATCGTCATATGATGACGAATTCTATAAAGAATAACCAAAAAAATGACGTTTCCACAATCAACTTCTTTAATAAAGAGCAAACTTCATCAAAACGTAACAAAAGACTAGTTTAGTTTTATTTAGTCTAGTGAATAATTTTTTTTAATTAACATGGATATCCAACCCGTTATCCGAGCCGATTAATCCCAAGGCCATCGCCTGCTTTGCAGATAGCCCGTCACCCCATTTGAACCTCCGTGACCACAAGGGGATTTTTATTCCTCATTGGATTTGAACCTGAGACCTCCTGATACTTTTGATCTTTGGAGCCAAGCTCAAACCAATCATGCACTACCCTTGTGGTTTGTAGTGAATAATTTTGTTCTCAATTGATATATAAAAAGTTCCAAACTTTTCTATTTTCTGTCCATTTTGACCGGTTACATGTTAATTTTGAAACATTTGATTACGTTAATACACATTTAAAAAAAGTGTTACAACAGAACTTGATATCCACGTCACTATATATCACAGGGTCAACAGGTTATAGCTTTAAATAAATAAAAAAACCATTTTAAAACTATATTATATTGATAAAAAAAATTATGAATTACATTTAATAAAAACAAGACAAAGTACTTGTGAGATTTGAATGTTATAATTTCAAGTTATGGTACGTTCGACTTGCATGTGTTAAGCATATAGCTAGCATTCCTTTTAAGCCATGATTAAACTCTTCTTTTGACTATGATGTACCCCTAGAGTGGTAGAACCTGGTAAACCGGTCATACAACTTTTCAAACTTTTCTTCTCTTATGATTTTTGCTACTTTGCTTAGTTTAGTGATTGATATCTTAAAGAAGCTGGTAAAGTAAAGACAGACTCTTTCGAAAGCAATGGTGGCTAAGAACGGTAACATTTTAAAAGTCCTCAAAATCTCTTACTATTATAAGCCCTTTTCGGTACATGCTTGAAATCATGCAACTAATATAATTTCTTGGAAGGCAAAAACGTTCCAATCCTTTTGGAGACATTGTTACATCTAAAACTTTTGATTACATTATATAAATGAGATAACAGAGAATATATGTTAAGAACAAAAACGGATTAAACCTAAAACGATTAACAATTTGAAACTAAACATAAGCCATTAATGGTTTGATCCTAAAACCAAACAATTAATGGTTTGAACATAAATAATTTCGGCTATACTTTTACACAAGTCGATAAAAAGACCCTGAACACATGTAAATTTGGACCCCCAAATTTCGGAGGCCCTGTTCAAAATCTCACATTTAACATGCTAAGGAACGACCCTGTTGAAAAGGGTTGTAGTTTTTGTTGTGGGCATTTCAATATCTAATATAATATTCTTTATTCATTAAAAACGTTCACTGTATTTTTTGATATAGATAAAGAAAATCTATGTACGTCATATCCCTATCAGATCCTATCTCTATATAAAAAAAATACGATCATCAAACCACGATTCCGTTCACGACGTCTCGATCTAAACTAAAAATAAAGAAAAATAAGGAATAAATGGGAATGAAAACAATAATGTGATTGTGAATTATTAAGAGTATGGAATGTTTGGTTTGGGTGTGTGCCAACTTGAACCTAACCATGGGTTACATTATTATGTATGAAATTGACTCAAAAGGTGTCACATAACCAAACATTACATAATTAACAAATCATTGTCCCATTTTTATTTGATATAAAAAAACAAACAAGAAAAAGTACAAACTTATTGCATCCCACAACTAAAATGATTAAAAAAACAATGTTGTGTTTTTTTAAACAATTTAAAGAGAAAAGT